GCAGCTGCAAGCTACAGCTCCCCTTGTTTTGGGAACCTGGCACTTGGTATCTCGATGTCACAAGCCACTCCATTTTGCGCAGAATCTGAGATGGCCACAGTTCCGGAGCTCGCTGTCGCAAAGTCTCCATGGTGCCGAAGCCATCCACACGGACGGCAGAGCCTTGGCTACCATCTGACGAGACGCATGGCGTAACATGATGCAAGACGTCCGGGTCCGGTGTCGGCCGGGGCCATGGCACTTACCCGCGTCTTCGGCGCATCTGACGACGAACTTGGTCGCAAAGTTCCACCGTGTCACCTTGTCTGAAGCAGCAGAGTTTCTATGCCTCTGAAGCTGTGTGAATGTCGTGTCTATCTTCCACAGGCAAGCAGACATCCACCCCAATTCACGCTGTCCGAAAGCCCGGTGCCTTGTGACTGGAACTTGTCGCTTCCAGTAGCTTGCTCCATACCGCAGATTTTTGTGGTCCGTTGACATCTGCCTCAGGGCGGTCGACGGTCGCAACAGTGGCTCACCTCCCTCGAGTTCCTTCCGTGAAGCTCGGTGCTGAGTGTATGTGTAGGCTTGAGATTGGTCACCGCCGCGTCAGAGTCCATCCGCATGTAACCCTTTGGTGGTGTGTAGGTTGGACTTTCCACAACATGGAGCACACACAGCCTCGATAGGTTTGGGGCCTGCGATACGCCGGGACAAGCCAATGCTAGCACATGAGGGATCAGCATCGTTGAGGGCTCTCAAACCCTCACATCTTCCGTTAGGCCTACAGGACACCCTGCCTTGGCCAAGAGGTGGAACTGGGTGCCGGGAGCATTCACTTTCAGGCCCCGGTCCTGCCCATTTTGCCAGGTCCGACATGAAGACGCGGCAAAGTATAGAGAGGCTTAAGCACGTCATTGATTGCTGGAGCGAGCGGTCGAACCATGCTACTAGCAGGCCGCTGTAGAGGCAAGGGTCTTACCAGTCTTCGACAAGAACTGTTGGGGTTAAGTTGTGAATGTGCATGGGAACACACAGTCCGTCTGTCTGTCTGTCTGTCTGTCTGCCTGCCTGCCTGCCTGTCTGTCTGCTGTGTGCATGCATGCATGCGTGCACGTAGGACATAGCTAAATATGTGTGCGGGCGTGAGTCTAATGTACAACTCTACTGGCCTGGGCATCCCTTCGCCCATGGCCCTGCCCAGCCTCCGCAAACTTTCGGATGTCGGCGTTGCTGCCCGGCTCCTGCTCGCCAAACTGGTTGCCTTGGTGAGCTTCACAGTTTCAGTGGTGCCTAAGGGCCTTCATGAAGGTATGTTGCAAGCGGCCGAATCAATTTCGGGTGATCAGCATGACAAGTTTCGGATCGGGCTTCCGCCATGTCGCGACAGAGGATGCAGGTTCTGTTGGGCCGAGCTGCATGGAAAGGCCACGACGTGGACGCCCTGAGCAAAGCTTGCAGACAAGTAGTGACTGGACCACTCCATGAGCGCAGACAAGGCCGGATCAGACTCAGCTGTCAGACACAACAGCTCTGAAGAAAGCTCACAAGTGTGAAGACGCGCCACCACGGAGGCGGCTGCAACAGAGCCCACAAAGCCCGAAGTTGCTTGAAAAAACATCAATGCATCGGGACGCAAGGACTTGATGACTCATGGACAGGCCTGCATGTCTTTCTGGATTTTTTTGAAGTCAGCATAGTTGGCTGCAGTTGCTCCTCACTCGCTTGCCACGTTCGTGATGAGGATAGCCCGGGCACCCTTGAGCTCTTCAAACTTGAACTCGGCACCTCGGCAGTGATTAACTACTCAGGGTACTCCCACTCACTGAAGGGCTCCACCCCCTGCCCCGCCGCAGAACCTCTCAGAGCCGCGCCTTCTGAGTTAGGCGACGTCAAGCCATAGAACTCTGCAGTCCTTGCAGGAATAGTCGGTCCTTCCTCTGCCAAAAATTTGCGCCGGGAAAAGGGGCAATCTGTCTGAGCCGCCGACGATATGGTTCCAGAACCAACAACAGAAGCAGCGGCTGCCAAGGTCGGCCACAGCACCGGTGCCACCCAGCGCATTCGCCCCATCTGCTGCCTGGCGAGCCTGCTACGCAGCCCTGGCGCGGTTCCGATTCCGAGCCAAAACTTCAACTCATCCGGTGCAGCTCTGAACTTCAATCGTGTCAGGCCGGTGGCCCCAGGAAATGTTTAGTCTGAAGAAGAGCGAGCACCATCACAATCATCAGCATGATAACAAGGCAGGAAAGGCCAGCAGCAGCAGCAGCAACAAGAGCAGCAGCGGCAGCTGCAGCAGCAGCAGCAGCGCAGCAGCAGCAGCAGCAGCAGCGGCGGCAGCAGCAGCAGCGGCAGCAGCAGCAACAACAACAACTACTACTACTGCTGCTGCTGCTGCTACTGCTACTGCTACTACTACTACTACTACTACTACGACGACAACCACAACAACAACATCATCACCATCATCATCATCATTATTCATGTTATTGTCCGCTATTGTTATAATAACAGAAGTAACAATAAAACAGCCACAACCACAAGCATTCCACCAGTTCAAAACACCACAAGCTTCATGGCAATCTTGCGATCAGTGCGGGTCGTGCCTCTCTGAACATTCGCATTCGGTCTCAGCGAATCATCCCAAAACTGCCACGCGACATCAGGGTGTCGTTGTTGAAAACGGGCTACAGGCTTTAGAAGGCTGAAAGATGTCTTCAACCCAAACGTGGTTTCCGGCCATCACGCCCGCAGGAATCTCCTCCCCACGCCGCACCTGTGACAAGGAAACTCGGCCGGCAACAGAGCAGCTAAAAACTTAAAGCTTGCCTCTCTTAGTCTCTCTGCAGCCGTTGTGATTGCAGCCGCTACTGCACAAACGGGAAACCGGCTGAGGCACTCCGGGTCGCTTGATTCCCGTGGGCCTGGCGGAGACTCGGATCGGATCATAACTCGGAATCTCCTACTTTGTGTGTTCGTTCAAGAGTCCATCTAGGACTCCGGCGCCGCAACATCTGCTCTGGCCTGTCTTCGGCAGTTGGAGTCATGCGAAGGCCTGTGCCCTCTGCTCACCCCGGCAGGCCTTCTCGGCGTCTTTGAAAGCCTGAATGAACCGCTTGTAGTAGGAGTTCCTCGGGTCTCGTGAAGAACTTAAGCTTTTGCTCTGCTTCTGGCCTTCCTGAAGACTTGACCGGCTTATGCCGTCTGCAGGCCAAGGCTCACTAGGCATCCCGACTCATCCACGACAGCACCTGCAAAGACCGTCTTTGGGCAGTCAAGGGGGAAAGTTTCAGGCATGGCCGGTGCACGGCATAGTCCGGCAGTCCGGAGCTTATGTGGGATGTCCACGTTTTTTCTGAGCAGTTCCTCTCTCGACTTTGATGTTTCTGCCCTAGCGGCAATTGCCACTATTCCAAACTGCTGCATACGAAAGACGGAGAATGGAGAACTGATAGCAGATAGCAGAAGTAGAAGTAGAAGTGCCAAAAGCAGGACCATGAGACTTACTTCTAACAACCGGCCATACTACACAGTATGCACACAGTACGGCAAATAGAAAAAACAAGAGCCACCGCTTATAACAGAAATCCCGGTCGTCCGCTTCGACCTCGAGCGGAAGTCGCCGGAACAAAGGATCATTTGCATCCTGCGCTTGCTTTTTCCTTCCGACTGAGGAGGGGTCCCGTTCGACTTCGAGGTCGACAGGGCGATGGAAATAGGATGCTGTATTGTTTGGCCTCATTCGAGGGTCGCATGTTCCTCCTTCAGTCTGCAGGTGCGCAGTGGGGCGCACAGACGCTGGGGTATTGAAACTTCAAGGCTTGCCAGATACTGTAGCGATCAAAGCAACACCGCCAGACCCATGCACTTGGCGCCTTCTGGCTTCAAGGCGGGATCCTGTCAGCATAGCACACAGCACAGCTGCATGGAACTGTGAGACCGTGGCTCAGTCCTCCTCCAAAAAGAAGGGGTCCGAAGGCACCGGCCTTTCCGGCTCCTGAGCCTCGGGGGGTCCCTTCACCTCGGCAGTGATCCGAACCTACTCCTCGCAGCAGCCTCTAGCAGACTCTAGCAGCCTCTGGTAACTGGTAACTGTTTTGTAGTGCCAGCTGGGACCCGAGACGACCTTCTTCCTGCCGCGCTTGCCCTTCCCTCGGAGCTCAGGGCTAAAGACCAAGCTGCCAGAGCAAATTCACAGGCCTGTCTGCTCGGGCACCTGGCCACGGAGCGGGACTACAAGCAGCATCAGCATCTGCAACAGAAGCTTACAAGAGTAACTCGCCTGGCCAAGGGTCTCCGCCACGATCTCCTCCCCGGACAGTTTGCCAAGATAGCCCGCCTCAATTCTCCGGGTGTTGCTTCTGCGACCAGTCTCTACGGGCGGCTTACCGATGACCTCGCTTCTTTTCCTCCTGTTCGGTCCTGCCCTCAGTACCCTGAAGGCAAGCTGAGCTTCGATGCAAGTGGTGTAGCCATTCAGGATCAAGTTCAGCGAGCTCCCGTGCCCGCCTACCCCCCTTGCCCTCCCGTGCTGCTACCCCGCTGGCCTCACTTACACTTGCTCCCACTCTTCTCTCCAACGTCCCAAACTAGAATTCCTTGAGTTTGCAGTCGCACTGGCATGTGGAAGTCTTGGAGCCCAGCGGGAACATCCCCGGAAGGAATGCCACCCTACAGTGCCCTACAGTAACCTGCTGAAAAAGCACTTCATCCTGAAGGCTGCTGCGATCTGCTGCATGGCCTACCCAAAGGCAGCTTGGTGTACATTCCGGCGCCCATCTACTTCATTGGGAAGAAACGGAGTAGTAAGGAGAACGGATTCGGCATCGAGATGTTGCCTAAAGCCATCATGGGCAGGCCATGACCATCGAAATTGGCCCGTGTTTGCCAAAATGGCAACTTCCTGTACAACGACTGAGATTGTTCGCTGGCTTGCTCACTTAGGCCGTCTGTATGCTGAGCGCCACGATCTGTGCCAACTCGAATTGCGGCTTTGCCGCACCAAGGAATTCCACCTTTTTCTACCTCGGCCGTGAGGCGCGGCGCAAGGCCGCCACGCTTGCACCAACCGCGAGGGCAGCTGCAGCGACATTCACGGCCTCAGCACCACAACCTTGCGCCCTGGCGCAACATCGGCTTCCCGTGAAACACCCGAATTAGAACATGCCTGTCGGCAGCCAAGCGTCGGTGCCGACGTTTGTTTCCCAGTTCTTGGACCAACGGCGTGCCACAAGCTCCTTCGCCGTTTCGGCAGCCATCCCACCCTGGCTGAGCCCGATGACCAAAGCGTTCCCAGCCCTTGAGAGTGGGCAGAGATGAAAGCCTTGGCTTAAAGGTGGTGCGCAGGCTTCGGGGAGATAGCGCAACACAAACATGGGGATATGTTCTCCTAGCACCAGTCAGGGCAGCGATCCCTCCTGGTTCGGGCAAACCACCCTTCAGGGTTTCTGCAGAAAGCTGGACGTACGGAGTCTTGATGCGGCGATTGGTTCGGCTCACACAGTTGCTGCCAGGGTGGTGCTTCACGAGCCTGACGGCCTACGACGACCCGAAGCGGCATGAGTAGACCACTTCGCTCCTTGATTCAGAATCCCCGCAACCCACCAACAGCGCTGCCAACACTGCCAAACAGGTCAGGGACCCACTGACAGAACCTTAATCCTGCTCAATGCTAATCTCTGCGATTCTTGCCCGAAGCAAAATGACAAGCTGGATTTGTGTCGAGCCCTCCAACACTGACGCCATGCCCACAAATGATAGCTGTTGATACATCAGGAATGGCTGAGGTGGTGAATCTCACGGACTGGCTTCGTGAATGACGGCCACAAAGACTTGAGGAATGGAGACTTAGTGGGAGGCAGGGCTAGCTTCCAGTTCACTCACTTGGCCCGTACCCAAAAAAATAGTTAAACGGCCTGTCCAATAAGGCCGCGAAAGAGACCCAGACCCTGTCACCATGTCCAGGCAAGGTGACGGCTGCTGTGTGCTGTCCACTCCTCCACTCGCTGCATGAACTCGTCCAGCATCGTTCGATAGTGCTGGAGGTCTGGGAGCGCTTGCCCTGCCTATCACAACGATTGCACAGGAGTGCACTCGGCCGCAGGCACACGGGACTTGCTTGGGCCACCTGCCTCCGAGGCGAAGTCCACTAGAAAAGAAGCCGTCGTAGCCTTTTCAGGCACGGTTGTGTGCAACCCAAGTGGCCCATCAAAGTCTAAACGCCCACGGTGCACATTGTGCATGAACCCTTGCTGCAAGTAGCCTTCTTGTACAGCAATCGGAAACTTTCGTGGCTGTCACGTCGCTTCTCGTCGTTGAAGGCCCTCTGCGCGATGACGGGCAGCGGGGCAGACGTATCCTGGAAACAGCAGTCCTGGGAAAGCATCGGGGAAGATCAACTTGTGCCCATTTGTCCGCTATAGGGCCTACAGGGCTTCGACGGATGAGCTAACAGCCAGGAATCGTCGGCTTCCACGTGTGGATTCGGAGGTGGAGGCCACAGCGACAGCTCCTGGCAAGTTGCGATGATTCCGGAGCGGACGCCCTCCGCCAGGACCAAGCGGTAGGCAACATCGATGCACTCCAGCAAAGACGCCTGCTGTTCTCCAGCATACTTAGATGCACATACATGCACACATGCATCCATGCATACATGCACCATACATCTCTTCGTACTTTTGGTTCCCGTTTCGGCATGTGTCTGATCATGCCGATTCGTGTATTGGCCACTACGTAAATGAGGCAGGCAGACAGACAGACAGACACGCACAGATGATAGGTAGATAGGTGCATAAAGAAAGAGATAAAGTTATCTACTGCTATCCATTTATTTGCCCCTGAAATTAAGTGAATTATCTGTTCCTTGTTCATTTAGGCACGTGCTTGCTGTTGGTTGCCCTTATGGCCCTGCCTCTTGGGCTTGTAGTCGCTTGGTGAACTCCCGGACCTTCAAAGATGCTTGCTGGACCGCGTCCTGAAGCACAGAGGCGCCCACAGAGCTCAGGCCCATGCCACCCCCCATCACCCAAACCTGTGAGCAAAGACCTTCCATCAAGGACGGCTCAACATGCGGCCTTCCACTCGGGGAGCTTGGCGTCGGCCACTCTGCCAGCCATATTCCTAAGCGCTGGCGAGGTGTTGTGACTACAGGCGAGGATCCAACAGTCTACGGATGTGACTGGCACTGGCTAGCCCAGCGTCGCAAAAGCCTGTTGCTTTCGGTTTCTACTTTTGATCCTACCGCATTAGGGTTTCGGCCGCTTCATCAGCATCACTTCGTCACTTGGTTCACTGCAGTCTTGAGCATCGATGACATGACGGACGGCAAAATTAAAACAAGTGACGTGACGGAAATGATTGTGAACTGGTTGTGAAAACATACACTATCCTGACTCGCGTCCACACCCACCAACTTCATGAAGATCGGCTGGGTTTTTTGAAGCCGTCATCATGTGCCTGCAGCCTAAGCTCTCAACCCTGAATATCCACAATAGCACGAACCTGCGCTCTAAGATGTACGGACAAATGCAAATGCACGTTTTCCGACAGCGTGTTGCATACGTGTGACTGTGCATGTGTAAAAAGATAATATATATATATAGACACATAAACACAAACACGCATATATATATATATAATACCATACCATACCATACCATACCATACC